AACAATCCTTAGAAAAACATGTAAATCTTATGAAGTAAAGAGTAAATGAGAGTATTTGGAAGATTCCAACAATGCTGGATAGAAGTTTAGAAATTTTAAAAATCATAGGGTGCGTTTGTTTGTGGGTTTTAGTTTTTAGTTTTGAATTTTTAATAGTAAAAAGTTGAATTGAATAGTTGTTTGATGTGATAAATAGAGATTAATGTGATCTTTTGAATGTAAAATAAATTTACAGTATAATATAAAAAAAATAATAATAATTGTTTAATGTGATATTTTTTGAAGAAAAAAAAGTCACAAATGAACACAACTTATAATATTTAAAACGGACATTGATACTATGCTGAATGCAGGACCGGCCCTGGGCCGGACGAGAGGGGTGCCCACCCAGGCCCAATCTAAATAAGAGCCCATAATATATTTATGTTATATATAAAATATATATACGTATTATTTGATTTTTATATATTAATAGAGGAATATGGCTTGATGGTTACATGTTCCATGTATTAACATTAAACAAAGTTAATATTAATTAATGCTATTATTAATTTTTGCATATAAAAATATTAGAAATTCTATTTTGGATGATGAGAAAATGATTTTTCGTCTATATTTTTTTGTATGATGTGAGTTTCATATAACATTTGTTAAAGTATAAAAGGGACGCCACAAAATTTTTAAAGTACATAAAAATTTTATGCTAAGTTTCAAAACTACATGAAAATTATGAACAATTTTGCATTATTATTATTGATACTTTTGCATAAAAATACTAAAAAATGTTTTTTTTATTATTTATATTTTATTATAAGTAAAAAAATATTATATATATATATATTTAAGGGTCCTTAGTTTTTATTTCGCCCGAGTCCTTCGAAAGTCAGAACCGGCCCTGTCTGAATGTATGAAAATCAGTTATGATGTGGTTAATTTTCACCTTTAAACTCATTTATCTTTACGTAATTATAATTACTAGATATAAAACTAATGACTGAGATCAATGTTCAGTAATGTGAAATTTATAGTTTGAAGTTTATATATATATATATATATATGTGAATTGTGTTTATAATATAAAGAAATATTTTTTAGTATTAAATTATTAAATTTTATAGGAATAAGAATATAATTATTATATATTTTGTTAAAAAAAAAAATTGTGTGAACAAATCTTTTGTTGAAAGTAGATTGAATTTGTTTTTGTGTTTTGGTTGATGTTGTTTGCAGATTGTCCGATCAACGGACGAACATGGATGAACAGACGTTGTCCAATTTGTTTTGAGTCCAATCAAACAAAGAAATGACCCAAATTGACCAATCCAATGAAGACCCAAACAAATTGATCTAGAAAACTCGTTGGTCCCCCAAATCCATGTGTGGAAATATAAATGTTGGTTGTAACAAATTTTGTGGATGTTGGGATAGATAGTAGAAGAATAGATTCCATTCTCGTTGAGTTTGTTGGGAGAGATAGTAGAAGAATATATTTCATTCTTGTTGAGTTTGTTAGGATATTTGGATATAGAGCTTCTATATAGGATATAGAATGGAGAAAAATAGATTTGAGGTGATATAGACAGGATTGAGGGAGAAAATAAAAACATTGAGGGTGAGAGGTGTGTGGGATAGGTTGAGTACAAGAAATCGTCAAGAAATGGGTAGATAGATTTCTTGAGTGTGTAGCTCGATTTTATTCACACATCTTGTGTTTCAATGTTTTCAATAGTGAGTTTCGTCTGTGTTGGAACCCCCCAGATTTAGGCTAGTGCAGCTGAACTGGGTAATCATTTTGTTGTGTTTCTAATTTTCTTCATCACCAGAATGTTCATTCGCAGTTCGATCATCCAACGAACAACCAATCTGTGTTGAGGGATTTTTCTGTGTTGATTTTTTAAGTTTGTTGTTGTTGTGCGTGTTCTTGATGGTGAGATATTGCTGCTGTGTAGGTTAATCATTTTTCGGGGCCAACAATTGGTATCAGAGCCTCATCTTCAACATATTACCGAAGAGTGATCCAAAGGTATGTCAAAGAAAAGAGCCTAACAGTCCATCCGAAAATCCTCCTGGAACCTTGATTCGAAGAAGATGCAGACTGGAAGTTCGAGTAGCAACCGAACAGCTGACAGCCGACCTGCAAAGAATGCCAAAAAATATGAAACTCCAACGAAGACATCAGAACAGAAAGGTGATGCTATGAAAAAAGGTGATGATGAATTCAAAAAGATGAGTTTTCAAGAATTAATCGAAACCTATGAGATGGTACTTGCTAAACAGAAAGTGTCTCAAAATGAGAAACTCAGAGCATGCGTTGGTCTTTTGGAAATAAAAAACAAAACACTACTAGAAGTAATGAAAAGCTTACCACAATGAATGATAAATTTGCAGTGGGACATGAAAAGTTGTTTCAAATCTCAAGTGAACAGCTGAAGAGAATCAAAAAGTTGGAGATGGAGAACAAGGAGCTTTTGAGTGAGAATAAACGATTAATGAAAGACAAAGAGAAACTTGATGAAGTATTGAATGTTGGGAAGCCATATGGTGATCATAGTGGGATTGGCTACACGCATGGGGCTGGAACTTCTCAAATAACGTTTGTCAATGGTGGATTGCTTTCTGAATCAACTGGTAGCAATGAAGGTGTTAAACTATCTGCTATTTCGAAATCCTCTGGAAATCAAAGGAGTGTCTGGTGGTCAGGCGGACAACTATCAAACTGCAGGTACTGCAAACAATATGGACACCAGGAGTTGGACTGTGATCGAATCAGACAAGATTTATGGCTGGGCAGAAAAGTAATTTGGCCATCAAAACAATTCAAAAACAGAATTATAGCGAGACTAGTATGAAGACCTAAGGTGAATCAAGAAACATGTCCAATTGCTCTCTCTACCTAGAACATTGGAATGAAGTCCGTTAATGTGAACTGCCAAAATGAATTGTTTGAGGTAAGAAGTCAAAATTCAAGTGATGACGAATCTAAACTGAAGCAGGGCACAGAGGGATTGGATTTGATTGATGTAAATAAAGAGGGATCAGATTGCGTTTGGACATCTCATGAACAACCCCACAGGAGCATCAACCTTGAACCACCAATAAAAATTCTCACCAAAACATACAAGAAGCATTCACCAGAGCATATCCTTGGAGACGCTCACTGTTGCACATCCGAAATCAATCTGAACAATGTTGTTGAAAGTTCAGAAAATAGAATGTGCAGTCTTGATCATGTGCATTCAGCAAAGCAACTGGAAGACATTCAAATCAAAGCCTTGAATTCGAATCGATGTGAAAAGCTACGACAGAATCTTGATATGTGCTTCTTATAGTAATTGGTGTTGTCTTGGAAAAGTGGTCGAGCGCGAAAGTGTATCTGTGCAGCAAAAGTGGTCATCATCCTAATCAAATGAGTATGTTTGGTATTAAAAGTTTTGGCGCATGCTTATAGGAGATGTTCTAGGTGTTGGCGAAATCAATGAGGTGGATGAGGTGCCTCGGATGAATTAAGAGGAGTTCGCTAGTTCGATGGATTGACATTCCTTTTTGAATTGTTGTTTCCAAAGGAGAAGAAGAAGTAACATTCATACCTTTTGGTTGCTATGAGTATTTGAGGACAGCTATGTCCGGAGATTGTCCGGATCAACAAAAAACAATCTGGTAAAGGAAATAGGAAATCATTTACTTCCTTCCAGCTCTAGTTGAAATCAAATGCATATTAAATCCATTTTGGCTTGATTGCCTCTATGGTGAGGAGTAAAATGAAGGAGTAAAGCTGCGATTGAAGGGGTAAATCATTTATCTTAATCTTGATATGATTTGATATTGGATTGATGGATTAGATGAGTTGTTTGCTTGTGCGCATTAGTTATTGTTGCTGATTGTGATGGATAACTAAGCTGATGTGCATGGATTAAGGGGGAGTCTCTTACATTCTGGAACACCGTCAGCTCCTATTTCGTCGTTGAAGGTTTTTTGTTTGATGTCTCCCAAAGGGGGAGTGAATTTCATGTCCTTAGCTTGATGCATTTATTCTTGGTTGAGGGGGGGAGTTTATAATGGTCTGAATGTGTGCTTTGTTGTGAGTAATGCTGAGAAGATTGTCCCTACTATGGTTGGTAAACATCAACCAAAAAGAGGGAGATACGAACAGTGATAAATAGATGCTGCCCAATTTGTCTCGAGTCCAATCAAACAAGGAAATGAGCCAAATTGATCAATCCAATGAAGACCCAAACGAATTGATCTAGAAAACTCGTTGGTCCCCCAAATCCATGTGTGGGAATAATAAATGTTGGTTGTAACAAATTTTGTGAATGTTGGGAGAGATAGTGGAAGAATAGATTCCATTCTTGTTGAGTTTGTTAGGATATTAGGATACAGAGCTTCTATATAGGATATAGAGTGGAGAAAAATAGATTTGAGGTGATATAGACAGGATTGTGGGAGAAAATAAAAATATTGAGGGCGAGAGGTGTGTGGTATAGGTTGAGTACGAGAAATCGTCAAGAAATGGGTAGATAATAGATTTCTTGAATGTGTAGTTCGATTGTATTCACACATCTCGTGTTTCACTGTTTTCAATAGTGAGTTTTGTCTGGGTTGGAACTCCCCCCAGACGTAGGCTGGTGCAGCCGAACTGGGTTATCATTTCGTTGTGTTTCTAATTTTCTTCGTCACCAGAATGTTCGTTCGCAGTTTGATCATCCAACGAACAACCAATCTGTGTTGAAGGATTTTTCTGTGTTGATTTTTTATGTTTGTTGTTGTTGTTGTTGTGCGTGTTCTTAATGGTGAGATATTGTTGCTGTGTGGGTTAATCGTTTTTCGGGGCCATCTTTAATTTTCGAATAGCCTACCGGACATCGTTGTTTTGAATAAATCCCTAAAGCTTTGTTTACTTGTAATATTTTACCCATGATTTTACTATTTCAATTTTTTTTTTCTCCAAAAACATCAAATCAAACATCTAATTTTTATATATTTTATTACACTAGAATTTAATACTACATTCAAAACATCTCATCATTACATATTTATATCACATTAAACATCCCAAGTAAATACATCCCAAAACAATTTAATTAATAAGATGACAAAAGAATTCACAGTTGAAGAGAAATCGAAGATCGAAGAGACATTAACGATCAATAGACAAAAAGAATTTAATTTAAAATCCAGAATATAGTAAATCAATTCAATTCCTAAAGATCAGTTAACAAAACGGCAGTTGGTTCTGATCTCTCCTTGTCTCCCTGTAAGCACCTCTATCTTCCCCATCTTCACCATCGCACCTCCGAATTTCTTCTCCCAATTCGACCCCAATCTCGCATTTTGGATCACCAGATTCCTCGTCGTCGGGCTGTCGAACAGCGTCTGATCCGAGGTTAAGAGCCCCCTGCGGTTCACCAGATTCTCGTAGTACCTGTTGTCCAGCCGGGTCGGTGTCTGAAAATCATTGCTCACCGCCGGATCGCCGGAATTCCCAGAGCTCGCCGGCGGGCACCTGGTTCTGAGAAACGCGGCGAATCGAGGATCCATGGAGGGGTCCTGATCGAAGGTGGCGTTGAATCCGGCGAGCCTGTTGGAGAAGGCGGAGCAGTGGGAAACGCCGATCGAGTGCGAGCCGGAGAGCGCCACCATGTCGTCGGCCGACAGCCCTTTCCGCCGGAAATTGTCTCTGAGCTGAGTGGCGTTGAAGAACGGCGGGGGAATGCTCTGCAGCACTTCCGAGCTCAGGGACACTCGCCCGTCGCGACGCCCCGACGGCACCTCATACCAAATGTTGCCGGCTCTGGCGGCGCTGTCGCGGGCGGCGAATGCCAGAATGTCGGCGCAGGACACCGTCCGAGGACACCTGGCCTCGACCAGCGCTTTGGTGTCGTCGATGACCTCGAAGCCGCGGAGGCTCGGGAAGTTGGCGGCGTTGTCTTTCTCGGCGGCGGGGCGGCCGGGGAGACTGTCCAGCAGCACCGACCCGTCGCAGCCCTGATCGGAAAACCAGGATGGATAGGATTAATCATTTACTCTATTACATTCAATTAATTGATTAGCGATCGAATCAGCACCGTGCCGATTCAATTAAATTTATATAAGAAAGGTTACGCTGAACATGAGCACCGAACTGATTTTTTAAAATTAGCAAACTTTATAATAAAAATATATGTTGTTTTGTTCATACTTACAATATAATATAAGAGTATATCTTATATTAATTATAATATAATTAATATATTGTGTGAGATTTTATCATATACTATTCGTTCATATGTTTATACTTATATTTTATTAATATAAATAATAACATGCAATATTGTGTTTTTTTTTATTAGTCGTATTTCATACTGTTAAGCACCGGTGAATTTTAAATTCAAAACGGTAGCTTCCACTGTATATGTATAAAACACTTGGATGATATATGATTTTATTTAACTTAACATAAGTTTGTTGTACGACTATATATATATTTTTTATATATAAAATCAATGGTAGTATATATTGTTTATTCATATACTGAATTATGTTTTGTATAGCATATTAAAATCATGATAGATATGAGTCTAATAATGTGCTGTCAATTTATGTATTGTATTTGTCCGACTGTACTGTTAATATATTCCGCTGAATTTTATAATTAATTTAGAACAGTAACAACTGCGTGCAATATAATTTGGTGTACGTACCCTGACGAAGCAGTCGTGGAAATGCATCCTGATGAGGCCGGCGGCGAGTCCCGGATTCCTCGACACGGCTCTGGTGACTGCCCGGCGCACAATGGTCTCTGCTTGCGGACATGTTCTTGCGTAGAATCCGACTCTCAACGACGACGATGATGATCCGCCGCTGCTGCACTTTACTACGGACAACAGCAGCACCACAACTAGTGCCTGCGCTGCCATTACTACTCTAGAAATCTTTGCATTCATCATCATAATCTATATCTATATAATTATAACACAAGAATTACTATAATTTTAATTTGATTAGTATGATGATCGATGATGGAATGATAATTAAGTAGTGAGGGCCTGAGGGGTATTTATAATCAGCTGTTCTTTTACATGTTGGCATTAGATTAGTTAATCAAATTGACTATAGTATATGTTGTAATTAATTTGATGATGTAAGTAATAACGCGTCCAATCCAAATGGCTACAATTTAAATTATTGACACTTTCTTATAAATGGCGGCTGTCTGAACGAAGAAATTCAAGACTTGGTAGTAAAGTAATTATACAGACAACCAATCCCAGTTGTAATTATATTAAAAGTAACCATTAGATATATAAATAGTTTCATGAGATTTGTTAATCATATATAAATAACCATTTCCTTTCCATTGCAAATTGCAATCGTATGCATATGTATATATATAAATATATATATATATGGAATTAATTTTGAAAGTTTCTTGTCTGACTTTGCCATTGATGTGGATGTGGTAAGTAAGGTAGGTTTAATATAATTTAGGGTAAACTGTTTGCTTTTTTAAGTCCCGTAACTTAATTCTTTTATCACTTTAGTTCTATAAGTGGGGCCTGTCGCAAACTAGTCTCATAAGTAGAAACTTTTCGTTGTTCTAGTCCTCTAGTGCCGGAGATGCCCGCGTGGCTCACCGGAAGCCACGTGTCCGCCCGGTGTTCCGCCAGGTCAGCGACACCCGGCGGACACGTGGATTTTTTTTTCTTTTTTCATTTTTTAAATTTTTTTTTAATTGGACCAAATAAAAAAAATTAAAAATACAAATAAAAATAAAAATAAATTAAAAATATATTTTAAAAATATTTTAAAAAATAAAAAATTAAAAATAAAATCCACGTGTGCGACACCTGGCGGATACGTGGCCTTCGGCTAGCCACATGGGCGTCTCCGCGGCCGGATGACTAAAACAGCGAAAATTTTTCACTAATAAGACTAGTTTGCGACGGGCTCTACTTACGGACTAAAATGATAAACATGTCCAGTTACGGGACTAAAAAATATAGTTTAGCCAATAATTTATTAATTTATATGCATGTGCTACACTTACACGCTTCCCTCCCATTTAAAACTCATCACTTGTTATCCATACACTCTTCATTCAAACCCTTTTTTTTTTTTTTTTTTTTTTTCTTCCTTTCCAATGATATGTATATGTGCAATATAATTAATTAATGATCAAGACATATATACGATCTTGCTCTGAGGCTGTCGGTGTGTAAAACTTTGTGATGACTTTTGTAATAAGATAATACTAGTGTTTTGTCTTACATGCTTACCCTGATCATCTCTCCCTTTTTTAAAAAAAAATAAAAAAATCACGAGTTGGGTATCTGATCTTCAACAACCCTTGTAAGTATGTGTATGTTGTACAAGTTGTGTTCGACTTTGCTCATTATACAAAGAATTAAGGGGAGATTTAATTTGTAGTGTTGACATTTTCACACAAGAGTTAGTTATAGGAGAAATTAAGGAATATAATTATGGGTTTTCGAATTAATTATTTAAGAGACATGGAGATTCCATGCAAGTTAATTAGTTTTTAACATAATATATATATGGCAAACTGTTTTATTTAGTCCGTTATCTGGACCCCTTATCATTTTAGTACCTTAAATAGAGCATGTCACAAACTAGTCTCACTACAAAAAAAATAATATATTTGTAATGGAATTTCGTCCCTAAAGTTCACGTAACTAACGTAATTCCATTCATAATTCCATCTCTAATGTCATTAGTAACGGAAAAAATAAATTTAGTGACAAAAAAATTTTGTTACAAAAATGATTTTTTCTTTGTAGTGTCCCATAAGTAGAATATTTTCGTTGTTTTAGTCCTCCGGCGCCGGAGACGCACGCATGGCTCGCGGGAATCCACGTGTTCGGCAGGTCAGCGACACCTAGCGGACATGTGGATTTTATTTTATTTTTCTTTTTTTTTTTAATTTAAAAAAAAAATTATTTTTAATTTATTTTTAATTTTATTTGTCTACTCTATTTTTTTTATTGGTCCAATTGAAAAACAATTAAAAAAAATTAAAAAATAAAACAAAATCCACGTGTCTGCCAGGTGGTGCCGACCTAGCGGGTCATCTGGCGGACACATGGATTCCGGCGAGCCACGCGGACATCTTCAGCGCCGAATGACTAAAACAACGAAAATTTTCCATTTATGTGACTAGTTTGCGATAAACTATACTTATGGGACTAAAAAAATAGTTTATCCATATATATATATCGCTGATTGATTCAAGCATTTCTTGAAATTAATTAACTAATTAATTACCGTTGTTAATATACATTCGGTAGCTTGTACAAATATGATCATGATAAAATAAATGTTGAGTATGTCAAATTAATTGATACATTTTATTTCATTGCTGTAAACAGTTGCTCAATATATTACATATGTGTTGGATAGCAATTTATTGAAGATATATTTTGACTATCAATGTGGTATATATATATATATATATATATTGTGATTAGTCATCTTTATCTTTATCTAGCTTAATATTAAATATAAATTAAGATCTTATTATATATTCCCCGTCCCAAAAGAAATGTCTTATTAAGAGTTGACACGAGAATCAAAGAATAATAGTATTTAATTGAAAGTGGGTATAAAATAGAATGTAAATAACTAAAATGTCCTTGCTTTTTGAAGGATTTTAAAGAATACGTTAGAGTAATAACTAGGGGTGGTATGGAATAATTTTATTATAAAGTGGAGACCACGACTACTAAATAAGGAAACAAGATAATTGTTTTGAGACGGACGAAAATGGAAAAACAAGACAAATCTTTTGGGACGGAGGGAGTATTGATCTTATTATTCTTCTTTCATCATAGAAAGTGCCAGAACCAGCTTTCGGATTCCGGGACTGGAGTCATCAAGTTGATTTCATTTTTTTTGTCGCTAATATATTTTAAATTATAAATTGTCAGTTCGAACTACTATTTTTTCGTTAGATAGAATTGGAAATTCAATTTTTTTTAGTAAAAAATATGTCTATCAGTTCACTACCGCCTATTCAAACGTTGCATTATCCGATTCCTCTTGACGGAGGAGGCAGCGAGATGAAGAAGAAATAAAACAACAAAACAGAAAAATAGAGAAGAAAATAGTGCATATGGTGACTGCAATAATATTTAGGAAAAAAATCGGTTTTATTTATTTAGGCATTTTTCAAAGTCTTTTACACTATGAATTAATTTTTTAAAAAATATATATATCAAGTTAAATTTTATTTACAAAATATCACATTATACAATTTTTTATCATTTTTTTTAATATTCCAAAGCATTTATATAAACAAAATTTATTTTTATATAATATATTTATGATAAAATTATTAGTACATATTATAAATAAGAAGGATAAATTAATGTACAAAATAGATAATAGATAGGGGTCAAACCAGCCACATAACCATATATAATATAAAAATTATATTAAAAAAAAAAAAAATTGATCTTTTAAAATTTGGGGGGTCAAATTTTAATACAGAACAAATTAAAGTTTTTCATTTTAATCCACACTATATAAAACCCGATTGCAATTCAATCCATCATCTTAAAATTGCATGGGTAGATAGTTGTGGACTAAATTGTAAATTTTCAATTTATTTTGTACTCGTTTTTTAAATCTATTCTTTTTTTTTTTTTTACCAAAAAAGTAAATTTTTTATTTTTACATTTTTTTTTAAGTTATATCCGATCAAATAAGCATATAATTAGACAACGAATAGAGCATTATGAAAAATAAATAAATAAATAAATAAATAAATAAATAAAATAAGCTTGAACACATGTCAATCGCAATTGGAGAGGACAGTGGGACACGGAAAAAAAAGGTACCGAGTATCTCATCCGGTTTAGTGTAAAAAAAACACAAGGAGCTGCAAGCTGCGACGCGTGGGGAAAGAAGTGTTTAGCATCAGTTTGTAGATGAAGAGTATGTGGAGAGACAAGAGCCCCGGACTTAAGATTCTCTGGCTATGGACTTTCGGCACTGCTGCTGGTAATTCCCCCTTCTTTCTTCCAAAATCAACTTCTCCAATCTGATCTGATCATTGGAAATTATGCTTTTCAAAATCGAGTGCAGTTCTGGTGGCCAGTGTTGTGACGACGAGGATGAGAGACATGGAGCAGCTCGTTAATAAACCCCAAGATCAAACCCCTCACGCCGCCGCCGCCGAACTCACCGCCGAACATAATGAATAAGCCAGCTTTAAATCCATCGCCTCTACATTGGACGCCCGCAAGCTGTTCGATGAAATGCCGGAACCAACTATTGCCTTGGTAATGCCTTTTTCTTTGTTAATTGCGATGCTTCACTTCTGAATTCTGCCTTTTTTTTTATTTTGAATCAAATTCACTCTTTTTTTCCCCCTTCTCTCTCTGATTAATGTATCGAGATTTTTTTAGAATTTTGATATATTGCTTAAACGAGGTTGCTATTATCTATAAATATCAAAATATTTTTAATTTTTACGAAGATATTCATATTATTTGTATTTCAAAAGCAAAAATATCAAAATTATTTTATACATTCTTACTAATCAATAAAATAAAATACTATTATTTTTTAATTTATTAAAAACAAATACTATACTTTCCATTGAGAAAAATAGAGTATATAATTTTAAAATTTTGTAAAATATAAAATGGGTTGAGTCTGTCCGCCACACTTGGATTGTGATTTTTTAAGTTAGTTAAAATGCGGATCTAAACGGGCAACCCACATGGTTGAGAGTGAGTTAGCCCCAATGGGGCGGGTTAACCCGCGGACCAAATAAATATAATAATTAGCATTCACCCGTCTCAACTAAATGTGTGTTTTTAACTTTTTTTACTTGTTACATTAAAAACTTATAATATAAGTAATCAAGTATTAATATCAGAGTTATTTTAATTTTATTAAATTACAAATATACCATTATAAATACAATTAATTTATAAATAACATATAAAGAGTAAAAAAAATCAAAATAATCTTGTACACTTTATTTAATAAATAACATATTATTATTTTTAATTTATTGAAAAGAGATATTTTTAGTAAGACGAATAAAATAAAATTTATATTATATTGTCTACATGTTGTTTTTCTTGTCTATTAATTTATTTCGATTTTTCATTATTTGTTTTGTTGGTCTTCCATTTTATTGTTTTATAATTTTTATTTTATTTTAGAATCTATTCACATATTCATAAAATTAATTATGATTTATTTAAAAAAATATTTCTTATTATTATGATTTTTATATACATTAACTAATACTAATATTTAGAATTGAGAATTTTTATATTTATTGTTTATTTTAAAATATTTATTATTTAAATTCTATAATAAAACTATTTTTAGCTATTTTTAAATATTAATTACCAAAAATATTTATAATATTAATATTTTTAAAAGTTTGTGGGCTAGCCCGCTTAACTCGTCACCCGCCGGTGGATTGGGTTGGGTTGATAAAATTTTGATCCGTTCCGCCGCGAGTTGTCCCGCAAACAACCCGCTTATTTGCGGGTTATGGTAAATTGCGGATCAATTCGCCCCGCTAATCCGTTTTGACAGTACTACTTATAACAATGTCCGAGAGTGATTCAACTGATGATTTTTGTTGTATCACCTCAAAAACAATTTACGAACTCAAATTTAGTTTTTAGTTTCTACTTATAACACTTCAGTGTGAGGAAATATTGCGATATTTTATATATTTAATTTATTGTTTAAATTAGGTTACTATTATTTTATATTGAATTATTATTATTTGTGCCTTTGTGATCTATATCATGTCTATACTAGATTTTTAATTCCATTATTAATAAATATATACAATTCCATTATTAATAAATATATACAATTTTGAAGGTCTGCAAAATATAACATTAGCAAGCAAGGTGTGTTTATGTTGTATTTTTTAATGATTTATATATATATATATATATTAAAGTACATGGAATCATACTAGAAATATAAAAAATAATATTTTAATTAAATTATTGATTTTTTTTTGATAAATAGAATGTACATCTTATATATTGCATTGGCCCATATATACATTTAAGCCTGATTAATTGTGATAGTCTTCAAGAAGAAATGTTTCAAATAATAAAAGAAGTTATAATTGAAAATAATTTAAATAAAAATAAAATGGTAAAATACAACCCGATATATTTTTATGTTTATTGTTTTTTAAATGACAGGCCGTTGTTATAAGTAAATATATTTTTATTAAAAATGATATAGTAAGAAATATATGTATATATAATATATATTGAATTCATTTGTATCATTGTCGAATGTAGTTTTTTTAATAGAAAATGAATAGCTATATTTTTTCAATACTATTTTTATTCTAAAAAAATAAAAAAATAAAAAAACATAAAATATTTTATATAAAAGTAAAAAAATAAAAGAAAAGAATTTTAATTACTCATTATAAAAAGTTATAAAATCATTATAAAAAATCAAAAAGTCAAAAATTAACTTAAAACAATACTCTCGGTCCATCTTAAATATTGACATTTGCTTTTTGGACGTTGTTTAAAAAATATTGTATTTTAATGATAGTTGAGATAATTTTTATATAAAAAGACCATTACATCTCTATAGTAATTTTTTTTCTTTTTTTTTATGACGTGGGAACCCGCAGCCGCTATTCGAAAGTGCGGATAAACCTCCGGTCGAACCTAATACCCTGCAAACCAGGCCCGACAAGAAAGTCACACTAGGCAAACCATGTGTGGCAAGTGACCTGAGGCGTCGGAGGTTTGAACCCATGACCTCACGGTCACAAGTCCAAATGTAATTAATGTACTTTGCAAGGAAAATAATTAAAATTAGTGTAAAAAAATGAGCAAATTTACATAATAATTAAAATGATTGAGATAATTACAGAATTACTAGCAAAATTAAAAAATAAATAAAATTAATGTAATTAAAATTACATAATAAAATTTACAAAAATAAAAATTTAATTTAAAAAATATAGTGCAAAAATCTTAATTTACAATGCACATAATTAAGTACACAATATTATGTTTATAAAAAAAAAAAAGTGTGCATAATTAGGAAATAAAAAAAACAGTGCATAAATCATTATCATCCCGTAACATCATACATCGAGAACGGAAAATCGGTAGACAAACCTTAATTTTACTATAACATCATACATTGAGAATGAAAAATCAATAGACAGCGCGATATATCAATACAAATCGTAATAAATCATCATGGCATTATACAATAAAAATTACATTGAACATAAATAAAAAATAATCAACAAAAACACCTCCAAAACATAATTCATTTCCCTCCCAAAGAGGGATAATCACGTCATTGTCACATCATCTTAACCATTCTCATCAAAGAGAAAATTTCCCTCCATTACCAAATACACATTCCCCTCATTAAACTACACTATATATACATCATAAGATCACATATTTCAGCAACATATTTCACAATTGTTGGAAATATGAAAAAACAAAATTTAGCAGCCAATGATCTTAATAGCATTGTATAATTTCTGTTGCAGGTATCTACCAACGGGAAACCAGTTCATGGGAAAATTACTGAAGCAAGTTTAAAGTGTGGTGTAAGTAGACAAGTCATCCATAGAATTTGGAAGAGAACACATGAGCAAATTCACTCAGGTCAGCCCATTTCTTTAAAAAATAAGAAAACAGACCTTCCTCGTGTTAAAAGGCAGGAGTTTGATAAAACAGCTTTACAAAATATAGTTGTGCACAAAAGAGGTACTTATAGAAATATCGCGAAGGAGATGAATGTAAGTAAGAGTACTGTCAGGAATTGGGTAAAATCGGGGCTAATCAGACCGCACACCAATCCTATCAAGCCTTCCCTTGGCGAGTAAAACAAGATAGAGAGGCTGAAGTTCAGCCTCAACTTAGATTGACAGTGCATCGAAAGTAATCAAATTCCGAAGCATGACACAAGTTGTGCACATAGATGAAAAGTGGTTTAATCTTACAAGGGAGACGGAAAGATACTATCTATTACCCGATGAGCCAGAGCCATATAGGGCCTGTCAAAGTAAAAGATTTATTACGAAGGTAATGTTCTTATGTGCAGTTGTTAGACCGATGTATACAAACAGTGAAGAATGCATATTCGATCGAACAATAGGTATTTTCTCTTTTACAGGAAAAGTTCTAGCCCAAAAAATTTTAGAATAGAGTAGTCGGGACAATGGTTACAACATCATTAGAATCCCTTACGAAGGAAGTCACAAAGGAACTTTTAATCAATAAGGTATGTTGTTTCACTTTGTATTTCTATACCTAGACTTCCTTAAAAATTACGTGAGTAATCCTCATTGGTGACTTTATAACAGGTGATACCAGCAATAAAGGAGAAATGGTCAAGTATTAGGGACAAGAATGTCACTATTCAACAAGATAACGCAAAGCCGCACATCAACAACCTTGATCTAGATTTCAGACAGACAACAAGCACTGATGGATGGAACATCAATTTGGTTTTTCAACCACCAAACAGCCCAGACACAAATTTGAATGAAATGGGATGGTTCAGGCACTACAATCTTTACAAATTACACAGTCAGGTACCACAGTAGATGACTTACTTGGTGCAGTTCACAAATCATTTGAACAAGTATCACATATCGCTCTAAACTCAGTTTTTCTAAGTTTGCAAGCATGTCTTGGTGAGATAATGGCTAATCTTGGATCAAACAATTATAAGATCCCTCACCTAGGAAAAGAATCTTTGAGAAGGTCAGAGAATCTCCCGGAAGACATTCAAGTTGACCATGAAATGATCAAAACATGTATTGATCATTTGATGGATTTTAATGAAGCAGAAGACCTAGATGACTTTATAACTTCTCTAGGGGAATTTTAGTAATAGATGAATGCTTAGGTGTAGTAGAACATGTTTTTGATGATAGGAGAAGTTATGGTTATTCCGATAAAACATCTCCATTTAGAGAGGTTGTTTAAGTAATAACCAATAATCTCTTTTGTAGGATAATTAAATCAATTTGTACACCCAACAAACCTTTGGATGGGATGTATATGCATATGTGACACTTTTTGTATGTCATTTTCACAATTTATCATCACAGAGTGTTGTAAACTTACTCTTAGAAATTAGTTGACATTTATAGGGTGCTCTCAGATACTAATCATCATCGAGTAAGGGCTGCGGCGTACAAATTTCAATGCACATATGACTGCATTACTGTAAAAGTAAACTTCCAAATACAATATGAATCAAAGGATCATCAAAGAACACAATCAATACACTCTTGGATGATAACTTTCATCGAGTGAGGGGCAGTGACTACAAATTCAAATGCACAGTGGTTGCATTACTTTAAAAGTAAGCCTCCACATACAATATGCATCACAGGGTCATCAAAGAACACAATTAGTACACTCTCGGATGATAACCTTCATCGAGTGGGGGGGGAAGGGGGCAGTGACTACGAATTCAAATGCATAGTGGTTGCATACTTTTAAATGTAAGCCTCCAAATACAGTATACATCACAGGGCCATCAAAGAACACAATCAATATACTCTCGAATGATAATCTTCATCGAGTAGGGGGTAGTAACTACGAATTCAAATGCACAATGGTTGCATTACCTATATAGTAAGCATCTATTATAACTATGCACAATCAGTACACTCTCGGAAGAAAATCGTAATCGAGTGGAAGCTGTTTAGGCAAATAATCTTGCGCATATTTGGTGCATTACTCACAAAGTAAGCCATCCATAAACAATATGCACTACACACAACCAACAGCCTACATTGCACATAATCAACACAAAAATTCATCATTTCAGCCATTAAAATTGAAATTCCCAACTTCAAGTACTCATAAAAAGAAGCCATAGAAGGTATACCTTAGAGTACTCGGGCAAGGTGGTCGCAAGAGGACATTAAATCCTCAAGAACTGAAGGAACACATCACGGCGGCTACGAGCATTGATTCCGGCTATAAGGGTTTTTTTTTGTCATTTATTTTTGAACGACAACTGGCAACGGACAGAGAAAGGCAAACTCGGAGTCTAGCACAACCCAGCCGGAGTACAGGTGGGGCGATTCTAGCACCTCAGAGGTCAAAGATTCCGAGCTCGTATACGAGCAAAGCCTCTCAATAGACGGCCAAAGCCCCTCATCTGGAAGGTCTCAAACCCACCGTTGAAGGTCCCGCACGTCTTCGGTACCATGGATCTGTAAAGATCAGAGTCAAAGAGGGAAATATCGGAATAGGGCTTCACAGGCGACTTCCGAACAAGGCCGATGGACAAAGCCCGAGAGGATCCTTTGATAAATCCTCCGATTGATCGCAATTGAAGCGATTTTGGGCCATACCGGTGGTTGACGGCGACGGTTGAAGCAAGATCCAGAGAGAACGACGAAGATGAAGATCGTGAAAAAAATCCTAAGAACACAAGAGGATCGATAAAAATGAATGTGAGAAGGGTAGGTCAGAGTATAAATAAATTGTTTTTGTTTTAATTTTGATAATTGTGTTTATTTAAAAATAGATGTATAAATAAATGTAATGGTATTTATGTAAATAAGCATAAAAGTAAAACTATGTGTAAAATGGGGTGGGGTCCACACTTACTAAAAAAGGAAATTTAAATTTTGTATTTTGGACAACCCAAATGAAAAAATGTAAACTTTGTAAGCGGACGGAGAAAGTATATTTAATATTTTTGACGCAATTCTTCTTACCGTACATAAAAAATCATTTTATTTAAAAACGTTGCGTAAACACAGTCATTTTTATTGACAATTATAGAAATAAAAAAAATTTAAAAAGAACACAACAATATTTATGTGTATATATTGACTAGATTTTTAAAAATTATTAAATGTGTAGTTTTTTTATAAAAAAATATATATTATTTCTATTAAAAATGATAATAATAAAAAAAATATATATTTTATAAAAAATTGTCACATTAATTTAAAATATATATTTTTTAATTAAATTGTTGATTTATGTGACTAAATATAATATAAATTATATTAATATGCATCTATATTATCTTTTTTATAATATTTACATAACTTTGCTATGTTTGTTTGGGGATTCTTCCCAAATATTACTATTGATAAAAAAAATTTATATTTAAATCTCATTTCAAAATTCAATCGACTTAGCAAACAAGCGAAAGAACAAATACTCACGGTTGATCGAGCATGGGGCTTTGGCCACACTCCCCTTCCCTATTTTATTCTATCATTTTTATTTGTATTTTCAAAATATGTATATATATAAATATAAAAATAATAATTAGTACTATTAAAAATGAAAAATATCTTAATTAAGATTTTTTCTAAATGAAAATTGTATTATTTATTTATTTTTAAAATTATTTAAATAAATATTTATAATATACATTTAGTAATGTTATTGTAATTTATTATTTTTTAACATTTTTAAAATATAATAATTAGAATAATAAAATTATTATAAAAAAATAAAGAAATATATGTCCTTTTATATGTATAAATATATTTTATTATTTTCTAAAATTAAAAAAACATTCGCTCCCTTTCAGTTGAAGTCTGATTCAGCCACTGCAAATACTTAATCAGAATATCTCAAAGCGAAACTGCAGTGTCACGTAATTTGGCAAGTCCATGCATTGCTTAAGAGTATTGATTATTAATTAAGATCAAACATTCGACAAGATTGTGGTAAGAACAGCGTACCTTTGGGGTCAAATTGTATTGAAGTTGAATTATTATTATTATTCCAAATTAATGAATTAAATTATCGATCATCTTCCTCGTCAAAACGGCTTCTGTTCTATTGTATTCACCTGCAATTTCTCTATTCCCTATTCTATAAATACCTCAAGCTTTGTTGCGATGGATTCAAATAACTTTCCCCCACAATACAAACTTAACAATGGCTTCCACGACTGCCCCTTCTCTCCTCATATTCGCTGCAATCCTACTTTCCGGGACGTCGCCGCCACCGGCCGTGGCGGCCCGGACCTTCTCCGGCGAGACATCTATGGTGGAGAGGCACGAGGCTTGGATGGTGCAGTACGGACGTGCCTATAAAGACGATGCCGAGAAGGCAAAGAGGTTCCGAATTTTCAAGGACAATGTGGACTACATCGAATCCGTCAACGAGGCTGCAACCACGTCCTACAAGCTTTCAATAAATCAGTTCGCCGATTTGACAAACGAGGAATTTCAAGAGTCGCGCAATGGATATAAGACCTCCACTCGCCCCAAAGCGTCGGTGTTTAGGTATGCGAACGTGACAGCGGTTCCGTCGAGCGTCGACTGGAGAAAAAAGGGGCCGTCACCGGTGTTAAAGATCAAGGCCAATGCGGTATGTTTAATAACTTGTCTTTAAATGTTGATGAAACAAACTATTCGTGAGCTCAGCTATTTTAAAGATCAAGATCGTGGTAGCTAAAGAACTACTCGTTCTAATAAACGAGCATAGCTAATTAGCTTATAAGCTCTGACATATTAATATTTAACGACAGTTGCAGTGCTGAATTTTATAATTCTAACGTTGCACTGACAACACTGCTATAATAAACATACATTATATTACTATAATACAAATACAATATATTTTACAACTGATTGAATACAAAAGAATATATTTATACAACATACTTACAAGTATGACATCACATATTTTCAAATAAAACGAAAGCATATAATTTTTCGCCTATTTGTCAACTATGAAAAATCAGTATGGTGCTGATTTGCGTCAATTAGTCAACACTGTGACTATCCTCTTAATATTTTTCTAATTTTGTCGAAACGTAGGATGTTGTTGGGCGTTCTCCGCGGTTGCGGCCGTTGAAGGAATCCACCAACTCAAGACAAAATCACTCGTATCCTTATCCGAGCAAGAGCTCGTTGACTGCGACACAAGCGAAGACGAGGGATGCAACGGCGGACTCATGGACAACGCCTTCGAGTTCATCGTCCAAAACCACGGCCTAACGACCGAATCGAGCTATCCATACCAAGGAACGGACGGCACTTGCAACTCCAAGAAGGAATCCTCGAGCGCGGCCAAGATCACCGGGTACGAGGATGTCCCCGCCAACAGCGAATCGTCATTGATGAAGGCGGTGGCGAATCAGCCGGTATCCGTCGCCATCGATGCTAGCGGATCCGATTTCCAGTTCTACTCGAGCGGAGTGTTTACGGGACCGTGTGGAACTGATCTAGATCACGGTGTCACGGCCGTCGGGTACGGGAAGACGAGCGACGGGACCAAGTATTGGCTCGTGAAGAACTCGTGGGGTACGAGCTGGGGCGAGAGCGGATACATTCGGATGCAGCGCGGCGTCGATGCCGCCGAGGGGCTGTGTGGCATTGCAATGGAGGCTTCTTATCCGACGGTCTAGAACTAACTCATTGTACGTAATATGTATTTATCAAAGAATGACTCTGATCATCAAATGATTGAACAACCGGAGCAATTTACTTACGTTCATACTTTGTACATATTTGGATATTGTTTATATGTTGTAACGAAGAAAGATGGTATTTAAGCAATGTACTCTTCCGATTCTTATGTAAATTTCAATTATTTGCAATTATAATGATTTCGATCGTTTAAATTTATGGAATTGAATATAATCTCTTCGGTTTAGGATGCTCATTGAAAATTTATTAGTAGTATGTATTGCCTCTGTAGATTTATATATAATATGGTGTTGAATGTGTTTGATCATCTCCACCCCGTCGTATTTACGCAGTGGGTTGTACAAAAAAATTGGGGAGAGGGGCTCCAATCCACCTCCAAATCCGCCCTCCCTAATTTTTGCAGATTTGTACAGTGTTACTCCATAGCTGTATCTCCAGTCCATTTTTTTAGTAGAGTTTTTGTGGTGTTTTTTATATTTTTGGTATTTTTTTTAGTGTATCGTGTAATTTTAATTTTTAGTAGATGATATATAATTTTATATTTTAAAAAGTTTTATGTAATTTACTTTTTTGAAAATAATGTATAATTTTATCTTTTAAAAGTGATATAATTTTATCTTTTAAAAATGATATAATTTTATTTTTTGGAAAGTAATACTCCCTTTGTCCCATGAATATAGTCTTAGTTGGGTTTGACAAGAGATTTAAGAAATATTGATATTATATTGATAGTTGGTAAAAAGTATGGATAAAAAACTATTTTGCCCTTACGAGTGTATTAGTGTAAAAACTAGTAGCAACTGTTTAATAAAAATGAAAAAGTATGGGTAGTTTTATGGTGACATGGTTATTTATGGATATAACACTATTGTTTTAGGATGGACAAAAATGTTAAACAAAACTATTGTATTGGAACGGAGGGAGTATGTAATTTTATTTTTTAAAAAAATAATGTATAATTTTGTTTTTTAAATTGATATATAATTTTACTTTTTGAGAGTGATATAATTTTTATTTTTTAAAATAATATTTAATTATTTTTTTAAAAGTGATATGTAATTTTATTTTTTTAAATGATATATAATTTTATTTTTTTTGAAAGTGATATATAATTTTATTTTTTAAAGCAACATATAATTTTACTTTGTAAAAAGTTATGTTTAATTTTTTATTTTAAAATCAATTATTTTATATCTTTTCCACAAAAAAATTTATAATATGTATGTATAATTATTAAAAAACGATACGTGTGTTTAAATTTAAATTCATTTAAACTTGAAAATAATATATGTTATAAAATTATTTAGCATATAAAATTAAAATACAAAAGAATGTTGAATAGGATGCAAATTACATAAAATATTTTATTGATAGAATTCAAATTACATAAAACAAATTGCATAAAAAAAATTACATTAATAAAATACAATTGCATAAAATATTAAAATACACTGATTTGATTTAATATGGAGGAATATCAGCATTTTCATCTCCACCAATATTACTGAAATATTGAGAAAGTATATTCGAAAAGACTGTGGATTTGATCCCTGAAATTCCATTGTTTTTATGTAAAATTTCATTTTCTTGAGCGGGTAATAAGCACCCTGAGCAGGATCAGAAATAACATTCAAGTTCATATTAATAATTTTTTCCTCAAGTGTCACTTTTTTAAATGTTAATTTTTCTCGTTCCAGTTGCAAAACTTTTTGTTTGTGCAAATTTTATTTTTGTAGTATTTCCAAGGTCATTGAATTTTGTTCTTTAACTTCACTAACATGAGCATCTTCTTTATCTTTATTTTTATGTTGCTTTGCTTTTTTCACCCCCATGGGGCGCTCATATGAAAACCCATCAACATTATAATTTAAATTTAATCTACTCTCACTATCGTCTAAGTTAACCGAAAATGATGAATTTCCAGGGGATTCAAAAGCAGTATTATCCGACGATGATGATACATGAGTGGAATTATTTTTTCGAGGTATTTTATATAGATTTCTAACTTCATTGTGATCATTAAATTTTTCAAAATCTTTTAACAAATTTCAAACATGATCAAATTTAAAACCTTTTTTTAAATTTGCATCTTCCTTCATTAGTATCTCATTTGTTTAATTGCAAACAATATTTTAAGGTTACAAATAAAACTTTCAAGATATATATATATATATTAACAATAAATTTAAGAAATGACTTATAATATTCATCTCTAAAGCTCCACTAGGTTTTAAAGTTTCTATTTTTTTATACAAGCAAGTAACTTTCGAACAGCTTTCTCCATGGTTTGGATTCGATTTTGTACAGATCCTGCACTACGTATCTTTCAATCAGAATTTTTAGT